AGACAGTCACTTGTCTGAGATGGTATAGGTTCTCCTGCTTGAGCAGGGGGCTGGACTAGAAGACCTCCAAGGTCCCTTCCAGCTCTATTCTAGTCTATACAGGAGATTAAAAAATGTTTATTTTTTTTAATCCTGTCCATTTCCAGTTCTTTGTCCCACTACTTATGGGAGTAGTAGGCAAGAAAAGCCAAATGTACAGATACAAATTAGGCGAAACCTGGCTTAGTAGCAGTAACTGCAAGAAGGATCTTGGAGGGCTAATGGACCATCACTTAAACATGAGCCAGCTGTGTGCGGCAGCTGCCAAAAAAGCCAACACAGTGCTAGGCTGCATTAACAAAGGGATAGAATCAAGATCACGTGAAGTATTAATACCACTTTACAAGGCCTTGGTAAGGCCAGACTTGGAATATGGCATCCAGTTTTGGTCACCACGAAGTAAAAAAAGATGCTGAGACTCCAGAAAGAGTACAGAGAAGAGCAACAAAGATGATTAGGGGACTGGAGGCTAAAACATATAAGGAATGGCTGCTGGAATTGGGTATGTCTAGTTTAATGAAGAGAAGGACAAGGGGGGACAGGATAGCAGCGTTCCAGTATCTCAGGGGCTGCCACAAAGAAGAGGGAGTCAAGCTATTTTCCAAAGCATCTGAAGCAAGGGATGGTCCAAGATGCTAACCCCTTCTGTCTGCTATCCCTCCACCCATCCTGAAGACCAGCCTTCTCCAAGCTGGAGCCCACCAGATGGCCTGAATTCAACCCCCAGGAATCTCCATTCAGGAACCACACACAGAAACAAACACACACAAAAAACCTCCACCTTAACCAGTTTTAAAGCAAAGGCAAGACCGGAAGTATGCCACTCGTCTTCCACCTCCTTCGGCTGTGCTTTAAGCCTCGTTTGGAAGAGGCCAGATTGCCCCCCCCACACCCCTCCTTCCCGGTATTCCAACGGGCTTTGATTCCAAAGCTTGAATCACCAGCCTGTCATCTCCGGACCAACATTCTCTGTCTTTGACTCAGCACCAGACCGAATGAAGATTAGTTTATTGGACAGGATGAGTTGCTGAAGGAACGCAGACATATGGAGCGGGGCCAGGCAGATACCCACCATCCACACTTGCCTGCAGGCAGTGGGATCTTAATTAAACATTGCTTGGGGGGGTGGGGGGTCCACCCATTCTCCAAAGCGCCTGAAGGCAGGACAAGAAGCAACGGATGGAAACTAATCAAGGGGAGAAGCAACCTGGAATTAAGGAGAAACTTCCTAACGGTGAGAACAATTAACTAGGGCAGTGGTGGCGAACCTTTTAGAGACCGAGTGCCCAAACTGCAACCCCAAACCC